ACCGGTTATAGAATGTTTTGTTCACTACGTGTTCACGCACCACCGTGTCAGTACGATGACCGATGAAGAGATGACAAGTGTCATGGTTAGGATGGACATCGGCGCTGAGTGTCGCGCGCTGATGACTTGTCTTCGTTTGGCCTGGGATTTTGAGAGTCGTCTATTTTTTAGAAAGAAAAAAATAAAAACAAGATTATTAATAACATTTTTAATGCAGGTGGCGGATGTGGTTATATGTAGATTGTTTGGACACTAGCAACTTTGTCAAAAAATGCTTTCATGGTATTCAATTTTTTAACACGTTAGTCGCCACGATATCAGAAGAATTTTCAAGAAACATAATGCATCAAAAAAAAAATGTTTGCCAAAATTCTTAGAAAACACTATTTTTTATGAAACCTATATATGACTTATATCGCATGTATATAAGTGTAATACGTATAGAATATACAAATATAATTTAATTTAATGTATTGTTATCAATTCGATAGATGTACATAGTTTGTAAGTCATAATGCCTATATAATGTATCCAAATTTGAAAGAAAATAAAAATTTTTATAAAACAAAAAAAAATGGCCCTATTATATCAAAACTTTTGTTCTTTAAGTATTTTGTGGAACTTCTTAGCGTCAGACTCATATGACTAACATGTCGATTAACGTGTTAATATATTTTATATCGACTCTCATAATAGCGTGAAGAGGGTTTTTATATTTTTACTCTATTTTCAACATTTATGCTTTTTCAATCTAAATTTTAATTATAATGATCGTTCAATTTAAAATTGCACTACCAAATCGTGTAGATTTTCAAATTAATTTTTTTAGTGAAGTGCAGTATGTGATATTTGAATAACTTAAATCAGCATTTTATTGTAAAAGTTGCTAGCATCCTATATTAATATATATTGATATTTTATTTTACCTATTAACAAATTAATTTTATTACAGATGCTATCAAATGAAAAATTCATGGAACCATTTCAACTACCTGAGGCGAAAAAAATGTAAGTAACTTTTTCATCTAAAATTTTCTAAATTTAAACTAAAATTGGTCCTGTTGCATCTAAATAATATTTAATATATTTTTGTGATAATCACTTTATTTATTTTTTTTTTAATTTATTGGCCTCGCTTACTCTGAGCATTAGCCACCTACAACATTTTTATTTATTTACATTCTAATTTTTTAAACTATTTTCAATCTATCACTATGAATTAATGTTATTTATTTAGAATGTAAAACTTCAAAATAATTGGCTTTTTAAGATGTTTAGATGTACAGTACCCAGGAACATTTTGCACCTGGATAATATTTACATATTTACATGCTTTTTATATTTCATATAAAATCTTAAAATGAAGATTTATGCAAAAATACTCGAATTATTCCCTATAGAAAGTTCATTATTCTCGGGTTATTACATAATGCATGAATTTTTAAAAAGTCGGGAAATCAGATTAAAATATTAAGCTAAGGAAAGACGAAAATTCATATGCTATCATCAAATATTATATGAATTATAATGTATTATGCAACAACGTTTATGGCATAAATAAATTGCTAAAATATAATAAAATTATATAAAAAATTGAACGATATCAATAGAATAAGCTTTCAAAGGATGATCTGAATTTTCGTCTTTATAAATAATATACATCCTGCATCTGAATCTGTAATTACAAAAAAATATTTGCATTGGTTTTATATACATATATCACACTTTGACATATTTCACTAAATATTTGCAATATGTACAAATAAATTTATATACAATTTGTACAATATGTATATGTAACAAACTGTTTTATAAACAAATAAAACATTTATAAGCTTGGAACAAAAACAGTTACCAATTTAACATAAAACATCAATTTCAAGAAAATAATGGGGCCAATTTTTTGATAAAATAGAAATATTATGGAAACGCTATATTACGGTCCAATCTTTATATGAATTGTGGTAAAAAAATGTATTTGCTGCGCAGTCTGGTACAGCATATATAAAACTTAACTTCACGCAAGTGTTATCAAGGGCATGTTAGAAAGATGCGCTTATAACATTGTACGTTTGGCGTTTGTGCTTTTTAGTTCAGGTTTTATTCGTAAACAAACAAAGCAAATTCATAGCTTTTTGACAGTTTTTACTACCAGTTCATATCAAAATTCAACGTAACATAGCCTTGCCATAACATTTTCCTCCGAGAATTGGCTCCTGGTGAGTTATATGTGTATCTACTGATAATAAATCCGATATCACATTATATACGTTTGCATAATTATATAAAAATAAATATATAATATAATAAAAGATATGTACGAATTAAATAAAACACGTACTCTTTTATTTTGACAATCACACACATTGTCAGCAGCAAGATTTGTGAAGCGCTAGTGTCGACTATTTACGGAATGTAGGTTGGTTTCTGTAAAAATCAAATAAAAAGACGGTGTGCTTTTGTAAATAATAAGTCTAAAAAATTTATAACAAAAACTATTTGCAAGCAAACAAACAAACACGTGCTTCTAAATAATACATCTACTAAAACAATAACAAAACTTAACAGAAATCACAATGAATAGCGTTTAGAAGCAAACAAACTGCATCGGTTAACATAAAATGAAATAAGTAAATTGGTAATAATGATTTTTTAGTTAAAATATTTTAATTTTCAATAATAAAATATTCAATTTCAATTAATGATTCAATGTTAAAATATTTTAATTTTGGGACTTTTCATTTCCATTAATTTAATATGATTGTGCAGTTTCCCAATGCTTATTAAATTTTCATATTGCAGAAGGGCTTTCCAATGCTTTAAAACTTTTAAGGAGTATATTAAATGTTCTCTAAGTTAATAGCGTCTTTAAGAATTATAAGTGTAGTTTCAGATTCTGGGTACCCTAGTTAAATTCTCGAGATTTTCCTTGATTTATATATTATGGACAAACAAGTGATCGATGCTTCACCTAGCAAATTATTATTTTATTATAATTAATACTTGCAACATATTCAAAGTAGGTAATATTAGGTATTTACAAAAATTTGTCAATTTTTATAAAATTAAATATTTATTTTTGCATATAATATGTAGTAAAGCTAATGATAATAAATAATAAGGCCAAAATTGAGATTTGATGAAAATAATCCCAGGCATAAAAGGCAACAGTTAGTATAGATTTTTATTACCGGTAATAGGTCTAATGAATTGTAAAAAATCATAACTAATAGTTATCAATTTACTATAATCGTAGTCATTTTACAAAAATATTCAATGACAGTAAACCGTTTAATAATCCAAAATTGCCAAAAGATCTGTTTTAATTTATTCCCAAATTAGTGAGTATTTTAAATTCATAGTTCATAAATGTTATTTTCTAAAAACTTGGGGCAATTGTGTCATTATTTTTTTGATTGTGGTCCTACAAATGTTATTCACGATTACTGCTCCAAATTTTAAATGACAAAAATAATTTTTAACCCAATAACCGAAAAATGGTCATAGTTTCACCAAAGCTCTAAAGGCTCATAATTACGTGTTATCTTTTTTGTCTAATTTTTTTCATAGTTACGATAAAAACTATCACCCTGTTCCGACTTGACGTTGAATTCTGTAATACCCTATACAAAATATATCAAAACAACGATAATTTTTTACAAAGCGACTGTACATTTAGTGAGAATTTTTTAAAAATTTTGAAATCATGTTAGAAAGACTTTCTTCTAACAAACCGATACAGTTTAGGAAAGCGTCCACATACATTACGCATAAAATTTGTTATTAAATACTAATAGCAAATATATATCTAATTTCTAATTTATCATTGGCATAAAAATTTCCCATAGTTTACAAACATATGTAAATCTATGACTTAATATTTAGAAGCCCACTAGCGGTTCTAAATTCATTAGGCAAACAAATTCGTGCTAAAATAATAATATAAACGATTGCATACTATTGGTGCATGCGATTGGACGATCACAATAGATTAGAAAATACACAAAACACACAACATAATCAAATACGTGCCAAAATGCTCACTAATGCTAATATAAAACCAATACATGCAAATATATTTTGTTTGTTTAAAAATGCTAGAACACAAAAAATATGATTATCCTAAGTGAAAAATTAAAAATATTTTTTTGTGCGGCAGATGCTTCTTTTCAAACAAGTTCAATTGCTTTAAGATCTGAAAACGTTTTCTAAGATACTATAAAAAAAATTGCAGAGATGTCTAGATAATACTAATATACTTTCAAATCTAAAATAAATACTACAGATTATAATTCTATCTACCATACACGAAGTGCTTAAAATAACCAACCCAAAACCGCAATAAACTACAAATATGTGATAAAAACGCGTGCCAAAATACTAAATTTTCAATAAGTTAGTGACGTGATAAAAATAAAAATATAATTAAAAAAGTTGTTACTTGAGCCAGCCTGGTTATGGTTTCGTCTGCCAATTATCCTCTGAACTGTCGTTAGCTTTATCTTTAAAATTATTTGTTCAAGAAAAACTTTCAATTAGATGAGTGGTGCTTCATTTGTCGTTTATTATTTTCAAGCTAAAGCATTTGACTCCATCATAGTAAGGTTGATTAATTTACTTCGCCAGTTGAAAATGTTAAACCAAAATCCCAAATACCAAATATCGAGATTCACGTTGTTAGATATATAGAAAAATTAATAATCTAGCTATTATTTCTATGTAAAACTTAGACAAAACTAACTTGATTATATACCAATATTAATTTAATTTAATTACAAACAATACCTATATAAATATATAAGTTCAGTATTTTAAAGTTAGTCCACTTTGAAAACAAATAATCAACATTTTTCATTGCTCTTAAAGTAGATACCGCCGGAAGGCTTTGATCGACTTTTATTTCTCGACATAATTACTGGTTTTATTTAATTTGCAATTAAAACTACTAAGAGTTAGTAAATAATACTACATAAATAGTTCCAGTTTATAAAAATTTTATAATGAGATCCAATAGCAAAACTCTTACTTTTGTGAAAATATAAATTAAAGGAGACTCGTAAAAATTTATCACATACATAACAGCATAGAAAAAACTGTTGATATATAATATTAAATTCATATGTAAGTTATAATACCATGCGATAACGAAGTATGTGTTTAATCAATAAATACGCGAACGATTTTTTCATTTAACAGGGAGTGATGTGGCAACACAAGTTGGCCATTGGTGGTGCGGAATTCGAAAGGCTTGAGAAAATTTGAAAACGTTCAGTAATTTTAATACAGTTATATACACTTCAAATAAATTAATTTTTGGATAATTACTTTTTACAACATTGGTTCTATTTATTAGACACCATAGCGTGAATCTATGAATTTTAAAAGAACTTTATGACGATTACAACCAGTCTAAATGGGAAACTGAAGTACGATCCTGATAAAGAGAGTTGACAGAATGAAATCAGAATCTAAATCAATTATTCAGAGCGGTTGCGACTTGTTTTTGAATCAGTGTTAAGTTAATGGAACTTTCAGGTATTCATTCTCGAGAAAGCAAATATCCAAATGGTGGAAGGAATATAAACAAGTTAGTCATGCTAAAGTTTGCTTTATTACTAGAAACTCAACTATAACAAATGGAATAAATATTAAATTAGATTTCTTGCCCCGTTAATTTTGAAATGTTTTCTTTGTTATTAGGAATTGTTAATGCATCTTTGTTAAGATGTAAATGTATTACAAGAGTGTGAAATTTGATGGAATGATATGCTTTAACTACTTGCTGTTAGATCTAATATTATGATGGTTATAATTAAATTATGTTAGTCTTAGCAAAAGTTAGTAAGATTTTTTTGTTTAAAATATAAGAAATGTGTTAAATTTTTAGTCATACATCATACATTTAAGGTTAATATCTGTACAAAATTTTTGTAGTATTTATTTATAATTTATCCAAATCATTTGAAATATATATACAAAATTTCTATTTAATAAATATGACTTCATTTTAATATATTCAAAAAACGACAATAATTTTTAAAGCACCACTCACCCGCATCTAGAATAGTGTCACTATTTGACTCCAAATGCAAACCTCCAGGCTGACTTTGCTCAACTCCATCTACTTCATTTTCTAAGTTACCTAACGCTCCCGTCGTTTTGCAGCCAAACCACCAATGACCAGCATTTCTTGGGAATGCTGGGTCTGCGGCATCCACCTTTGGTAAAAGACAAGAATCAGAAATTAAATTCATGTAAAATAATTACATATAAACCTCAGTTCGGAAGCAATTTTTCACAAAAATCAATGTGTTTAAAAATTCAACATTTGCTTTATATTTATTTCCTTAATCAATCTATTATAGATCTTAACCAAATGGTACTTACGGAGAATGTCCTGTCATTAAATCTATAATATTGACCATTTTTGAAGAAGTATGTGTATCCATTCGTATATTGAAGAGCGGCATCTAAATTATCTGGTACACCTTCCCAATTAGCAATTGGTTTAGGATAAGTTGCCTTTACCGGTGGCCTTTGCGTAGGATCGAATCTCCAGAACTTCGTTCCTGGAAAATATGAGTTCAAGTTTAGAAAAATTTCCAAGAAAATTATATAATAATACATCATTAAGAAGTAAATTACCCCAAATACATTGTATCAATGGAAAAACAAGCCAAACGTGATAAAATGTTCACTATATTAAGGGGTATTCTAGTGTAGAGCGATGAATTTTAGGTCATTTTTAAAGTGTCGTAAAAGAAAGCAATGAATGTTTTTACTATCCATTTTATACCACTTGTTTGTTAATATTATTAAAATACAACAATTAAAAAATGAAAATGTTGAAAATTGTAAAAACTGGCAGCTGATAAAGTGGGTGGTCTCAAAAAAATGGCACCTCAATCTTGACATGATATGATTTCAGCCCTCCTAGCCATTGGAAATGCAAAAATAAACAGATTATTAATCTACAATGATGTCGCGATCGCCCAATTTTTTTTCACAAATTGGCGACTGTTTGAAAAAAAAGTGTTTTTTACTATTTTTTGAGTTTCTCGAATTTTTTAAAATAGTAAAAAATTGGAATTTGGGGATAATCCTAGTTCGGGATATAGATAGGTCTATAAACAAGACTCTCTGAACATTTCAAGTAAATCGGTCGATTCAAACTCGGGAAATCGTGTCAACAGTATTGAAAAAGTCTGTACTGAGAAAAACGCATTTAAAGTTTTGCGTCAAGCCAAACCAGTATGGGGACTGAGTAAGTAAAATGCCTATATCTCCGAAAATAATTCAAATTTTTAAAAACCTTCTCGTACCCATATTCTTAGATAGTTAAACTTTGAAAATATGCAATAAAAAAAAAACGATTTTTTTGAATTTCTACACTAGAATAACCCCTTAATCAATGATTATTTAATTAATTTTAGTTGCGTTCAAGATTATTTTTGAGGACTTGAGAACTTTAAAAATTTATATTTTTAAAAATTCTTTTGTCATGATAGTAGTAAAATCGAGTTCTATGTATCCAGCCGTCTAGTCTATTGGTAAAATAATATACCTTCCGCACCCAAGAATAAACTATCTATCCCAATCAACAAAAATATTCTTCTGTTGTTCATTACTACAATCTGTGAAAATGATTCACAGGATTTAACTAAAAGCCATCAGTTTCTTATATTCCACATAGTTCCATTGATCTACGAAGTTCTTAAATCCGCGGACTCACTTACCTTTGTAGAAGTAAATCTTGCCGTTACCGCTCCAGACTAATGCGGCATCGACATTATCTGGAATGCCAGTAAATCCATCTGATATTTCTTTGGGATAAGCGCCATCCATCCGTTTATCCGCATATCTCCAATACTGAGTTCCTTTGAAGAAGTATGTTTTGCCGTTTTTGTAGGTAAACGCAGCGTCTATATGACCCGGTAGGCCACGCCAAGTGTCGGATATCCTTTTAGGATAACCCACTTCGACACCGTCCTCGGTCAATCTGGGTAAAGATAATTCACACATTAATATCTTCAATACGGAAAAATATTATATGTGCAATTTGGTTCATTAAAATCTATACAATCTGATGATGATCTAACTTTGGTACAGAAAAACGAATTTATCAATAACTTACTTCCAATAATTTTCTCCCTTGAAAACAAAAGTATCACCACTTGCAGAATTGAACAATGCGTCAATTTTAGGATCTGTACAAAGTACTGAATTTTTCTTGTCGGTTGGTCGCAATGTTGTAGGTGCTGCAGCTGCTGGACGTTTTGGTGCCAGTTTCGATTTCTTTCCATAAAGAGCCTAAAATGGTAAAGGACTATTAATATCATAATAAAATCGAAGAGAATTTTTTCATAGGCATTCTTGAGAAACACTTATGTGAGTTGTGGTGAACTTTAATACGTTAATCGCCACGATATAATCACAAAAATATTCACGTCCATCGTAACTTTATTAGATAATTTAGTTAAAATATACTAAGAAAACGTGATGTATCAAAGGAAAAAAAAAACTCTGGAAAAAATTTCTGGAAATGCACAATTTCTCGCACCAAGCCAAGAAATTCTTAGATATATGTCTGTCATGGTTTATGTAGAATTCTTAGCGTCGGACAAAAATTACTGTCATGGAATTAACGTGTTGAAGTAAATTCATCTGAATAATTTTGAATTACAGTAGAACCTCGATTAACCGGACTAATTGTTCGGTATAATATATATTTTCTCAGATCATATTACATAAACTGCAGCATAAATCGTGCAAAAATTTGAATTATAGGTATGTAAATATACATATAACTCTGTCGCGGTTAGTAGTTCGGATAATCGCGAATCCGTATAACTGAGGTCCGAATAATCGAGGTTCTACTGTGTTTCAAGAAGACAATAAAAATATTACGTATAGTGTCATTAATTACTACTGCTTTGAATATTCTTCCTATATTTGAAAACACAAGAAGAAACTTGATCCATATATGTTGGATGTGGTAGTAAAAAGAGTTGCGAATAGTTCTTGTATTTTATGACAAGACTTGTAAATTTTCATGGAAGACAAGGCTGCCATGTAGTAAAAATATTTCTAGAGTTTATTGGTATTGCCTTTGAAATAAAAATTTAGTATCAAAACTCATTGCTAAAATGAATTTTTATAATCAACCGAGATGAAGTTTGATCATAAACTGTGCAGCAGAACAGTAGTATACTAACTTTGTAATATTAACGATAAGATTTTATGTCTGTTATGTATCACTTTTTATAAAATTATCATCTGACATAGTGATTGCCAAAATGGTCAACATGTAGACCTCAGGCGTCCTGTCCACCAAATTAAAATGGGGATTCACGGTAGTGGATCACGTTAATATCTAAATAATAATAAGTCATGTTCAATATGTAGTAATTAAACTAAAAAGTAATTACAAATTTAGTTTTTTTTCTAGAGATGTGTAAGTTGTAGCATAAGTGGTTAGAGGGCGTCCATTAATCACGTGAGCGAGTTTTTAAGAATTTTTGGACCCGCCTCCCCTTGGTGATACATGGTGATATTCAAAATTAACACCCCCCCTCCCCCACAAAACATCGCATGTATTTTTAGTTACGTGAAAAAAGTTAGTTTTTAGTTACTGTAAGATTTTGATTTTTTCTTGAAAATGTTTGAACTTTTCCCCCACGGGTGATATTTCATGATTTCTTATCAAAACCTCCACTCTCGCTAAAAACCTCACGTGATTAATGGCCACAATAGAGTAGAACGTAGAGATGACATCATTTGCTTTGAGATGTGAGTTTAAACCTTACAAAATCGTTTCCAAATGTTGATAGTCGAACATTATTAATAAACTAAAGAACAGAAATCGATATCTGTTGAATAGGTGGTTCATAACAAAGCCCAAGGATTCCACGACATAAAATAATTTAGAAACCTATGATCTAACATACTATATTGTGCATTTATACAGTCATCTCTGAACATAGTTTATATTCATTTCATTTCAAATTTGACACCTGTGTGTGGTATAATAGGTATCAAAGCCGAAGTTGTTTCACCTCGAAGTTAAGTGCGAGTCAAACTTACTTGAATTCCCATAATATCATCGCTGTCCAGTTCAAACGATGGTTCATATCCGCGATAGAATGGGGCCATCAGGGCACTTCTCACATCGGAGTGACTCAGACCGAGCGAATGACCAAATTCATGTGCGGCCACTTGAAACAAGTTGGTCCCGGTAAAACTTTTAATGCTCCACTTCTCTGCATCGTCGAAATGTGCATCTCCACCGTACACCTACGAAACAGATCCGATTTATTAGGCGATCTAAAGTTTTTATGACATTTCAACGGTGATAAAGTACGTTCACGAACTTAGAATTGGCACTCATACGAAATATTTACAGATGATTTAGCGTGAAAGCATGAATTTTTCATAAACACATCTAGCAAAGTTTAGAGGTAACAAAAATAACGTAACAGTTATTATTATGCATGCAGTTTCAACCGGTAAAAAAAAAAATATGACCGTGCAATACAAGTATTCAGTATCAAAATTATCCTTAATGTTTCAACTTTTGAAAAATACTTTTATATTCTATATTTTCTATTTTATGGTTCATCTATGTATGAAGATGCTCAAACTCTAAAAATTAAAACTTTTTTTTTTCATTTTATTTATTTATTTTATTTTATTTTTAATAGCAATCAGAATACATGACAATTCTATGAGCTATTTGGCTTCTGTCATTCACTCACACACATTTTGCTTTCATTAATTAGTAATTATATATATATTAGATACTAGCTGACCCGGCAAACGTTATTTTGCTAGTAAGTAAGGTATATTCTAAACAATTTCTAGAGAATTAAAATATTCATACTTTAAGTGCATAAGGATGTGTTATTTGGCTATTATAATATTATTATACTATTACAATGAAGTATTATAAAAACTATAAACCCCATTAGTTTGTCTATATTTTGTCAATACAATCAAACTGGAAGATTTATACACTTTCTATAGAAAACATAGTATAATCCAATTCAAGTCTTTTTTGGTCTTTCGACTTATTGATCACGTTTCAAGTTTTTCAGATTCTTTTTGGATTCTGGATTTTGTGTATTTACAATTAGTAAATAATGCTACTGAGCTTATACAAAATTTTCAAATTTTTGCGAGGAGAGATAGAAAATGGATTAATTATTTCTTCTTTGACCTGCTTTTGGAAAAGATTCAAGTAACATTCGATGAATGAAAGTAAATTTAATAAAAAGTATATACGAGGTCTGTTCAAAAAGTACCCGGAATTTTCGTTTTTTCAAAAAAATATTTATTTATTCGTCTACATTAATGTGGTCCCCTTCAAAGTAGTCCCCCCCAGATATAATACACTTATGCCAGCGTTTTTTCCAATTTTCGAAGCACCCTTGATATTCACTTTTTGATATGTCCTTGAGCACTCTCAGCGATTCGGCCTTTATTTCTTCAATCGAGGAAAACCGCCGTCCTTTCATGGGTCTCTTCAACTTTGGGAATAGGAAAAAGTCACACGGAGCCATATCTGGTGAATATGGAGGTTGGGGCATGACTACGGTATTGTTTTTGGTCAAAATTTAGCAGTTTTGGAATGAATTTTGCTGCCACTCGTTTCATGCCCAAAACATTTGAAAAAATGTTATGACATGAGCCAATTGATATGCCAACTTCATCAGCAACTTCTCTAATTGTGATTCGGCGATCATTCATAACCATTTTTTCCACTTCTTTCACATTTTCATCGTTTGTTGACGTGCTGGGTCGACCGGAGCGTTCGTCATCTTCAACGTCTTCGCGGCCATCTTGGAAACGCTTGTACCACTCGTAAACACTTGTTTTTTTCATAGCAGACTCACCATAGGCTTTTTGTAACATTTCACACACTTTGTTACACTTTATTTCATTTTTTACGCAAAATTTAATACAAATTCTTTGACTTTTCAATTCTTCCATTGTAAAAATCGCCGAGCTCAGAAAAACACGTCGAACCTTAGCGACTACCACAGACAAAGTAAACAGTGAATATAGCTGAAAATTTCATCATACTTTAGGGGCATGTATACCAACACAATAAAAAAAAAATTTTGACAATCAGACACTCCAGACCCGCGAAATTTAAAAATTCCGGGTACTTTTTGAACACACCTCGTATGTAGAGCAGGGCGAGGCACAAAGGTCCAATTTGACTTTGAGCAAATATAAACTATATTGTGAAAATCATAACAAATATATCACAACAAATAACACATATCAAACGAACAATTATCTGACTATATAGTTATTATATATTGAGTACATAATTATACAAATGAGATCTTTCAGAGCACTGTGTTTGAGAAAAATATGCCAGAAAGGGCATTTTCATAATAAAATTTCAAAAAAGTTGATATTTTGAGTCTCTAGTAACACTCGCGGCCCGTTTACTAACGTTTTTGTATATAAATAAAACTACAAACAAAACTACTTACTACAATTTAATCATAATTAAATAATCATCAATTAAAACATCATCTGTCAAAAACGTTTGATATTTCACTTATTAGTCACCGTCCATTGTTTTATTCAAGGTACGCTTCTATAAAGATTTTCAAATTAATAATGTAAAGTTTTTACGCAATTTTGAAATAATATCTCACCTTTCCGACCACCTACTGATAAGCACGAATTTTTCAAGACTAAGACTGGCCAAATCGGTTTAGCTGTTTTCGAGTTTTACTAAGCCATTTGAAAGAGAGCTTCATTTTTATATATAAGATATTAAATGGACAAACAGTGGCTCTAAAAATGCAAAATCTTCTGATGATCGTCAGATTTTTGGAAATTGACAGTTGTTAATATAATATGAATATCTTTATACGCCAAGTATCAGTGAAAAAAATCCATAAGTTTCTTAAATTTTTTTTTTACTGCCTCCGTTTTAACAACAATGAAAACCTGCATCATATAAGCTGTTGTGCTCGATTTCCTCCTTTTAAGCTGTTTTTAGATGTCAACCTAATGGTTAATCAATCTATATTATCATGTATCATATATATTGATTAGATGAATCAATGTTCAAAAAAGCTATTTTCAATTGGAAACATATTTTGAACCTTTATTTCTAATTGTAAGTAAAAATGAATATCACTAATGCTTGATATCAGTTTGCTAAATCATTTAATTTAGTTTGCTAAAATTTTAAATATCTACCTAATTTTTTTTTCCTATTTTGTTTTTTTTTCATTTTATATGATATCTTTCATTTTTAACCCCCGATAAAATAACACAAACATTTCTCAAATTTGGAAATGTACGTTATTTTTCGAGTCATTTTGCAAATCAGTATAGTATCCGTAATATTATATAAATTAATTATAAATATACAGATAAATATTTGAAAAAAATTAAATGTTTTATAAATGTTTTTGTGTTACAGATAAGGATTACAAAAGACCTCCAAAATCATTTTTAAATATTTAACGTTAAGTTATAATATATTTTTTTAAGTTATAATATAATTCATAACCCGTCATATTTGGCAATCAATCTTTAATTTGAGTTTGCATAATTATTATAACAATATTAAGTAAATCTTATTTCAAATTTCATGAAAATAAAATAATTTATAGTGCAGATATGTATATAGCAAAATGAACTCTTCAAACCATCACATTCCACCTTGTTAAAACCATTTCCTAGTGCCACTTTACATAAAACCAGCGTTTAACGAAACTATAGTACATTCCCCTTATACTTACTGGGAAATAAGCATGTGCCAAAGTGCCTCCTGGCCCATCAAAAGGATCACCGTCGCCGTGTTCTCCTTTCTCGAATCTGATTTCAATATGCACTTGTCCTGATCGCGGCGTAAATGTCAGATCGGTGTGTTGACTCCATACGGCGAAAGCTCGTGCGATCTCGGCGTCGACTTGAGCCCGGTCCAGTTTTCTGGGGTATTTGCTTATCTTGTACGATAGATCTTTCACTCGCCATCTACTTCCTGAGAAAGAGGATTTTGAGAGATTAATAATTATATAGTATTCAGATTTAAATTTGAGAAACGTTTGTGAAGTATTGCATATATAAAAATAGAGAAATTTTATATAGATAATATATATATATATATATATATATATATATATATATATATTCATGTATCAGGGCAGTCTTAAATAAGAATGTTCTCAAATTTCCTTCAAATGCTTCCAAATTGATAAAAAAAAATCTGAAATTTTTGCTTTTAATATTAACCTCAAGATAGTCCGCACCCCAACCAAAGTTTCTTGGTTCTTTTACCTGAGTAAATATCTCTATTATAAAACATATAAAATTTACCCTGAACGTGGCTTTGACCAAAACACTTTACTAAAAGAATTTGGTATTCCTTCTCTTGCCTCACGTCGATTTATCTGTACAATTATGTTCTTATTTAAACTTTGCAATAATTTTATAGACTGTCCTCTTATTCTTAGCCAAATATCCTTTAATGTTCCAAGGCTATCACGCGTTCACAATTATATTTCAATTATCCTACTCCTAAATCTAATTCTCTCTTAAATTCGCCTATTTTACTTATATCCTTTAACTTTAACTTAATTAATAATGAAATAGATATTCACAACACTTCACATAATCAAATAATCTCTATCTGCACAAGTTAACCTTTTTATTTTCGTTTCAAATATTTTTTTTTTATCTTATTCTGTATATAAATATTATTGTTACATTCTGTATTATATGTTAATTATTTTTTGTTAATAACTATATTTTATGTTAAGTTTTGTATTATATTTTATGTTAAGTATTTTTTGATAATAACTATATATTGTAATTTTGTATATACTTCAATTGTTATTCATTGTATGTTATACAGTTGTACTTTTTAGTCCTCTTGGAAGAAACCTGTGGGCTATTTAAAAATAGATAAATAAATAAATAAATACTTATTTTATAAAATATATTAAATGTTTGTTGTAATTTTATTTATTTATAATCAAAATAAGCAAATACAATGTTATTCTCAAAATTTTGATACATTTGTTGCCCAATAGATTTTATAACCCGAAGTTATAAAATTCTAAAAAACAAATGCAATTTTACCCATGTTATTTCCATAAGAAACTTTGATTGGAGTGCGGATTATTTTAAAGTTATTATTAAGATCGAAATCGTTCAGAGAATTTTTTTATCAATTAGAAAGCATTTGAGTCTCCGGGACAAAGAAATTCGAAAATATTTATAATAAAAACTTAAATCTATTTAATTGAATGCACGTATGTCTGTAATCTATGCATTCAAAAACTATGCTTCCAATCGCTGTAAAAATTTTGGAACTTATTTGATATATTATTAGTAAGATTTCAGCATATTTTATTAAAACCCTAAGTACTTGGCCACCCCAAAGATATTTTATTTTTTAAGCCAATTTATATTGTTCTATTTTGTTATAATGCTTACATATACATATAACAAAATATAACCCTAAATTTTCATCCTCTCACCACAAACTCTTTTTCGTCAAAATTATTAGAGTAAAATTATATTTACCGAGTTATACGTGATAAATGTGGGCAATATTATCTACAACATATATAATAATATTAGGTTGACAAAAAATGATATATTCTAAAAATTAATGAATTAATGGAAAGTTGCAGAACTACTATTTAAAATTCTATCAACAACCGTTTGCTCTGTGATTAAAATAAATCTAGGGGTTGAAAAAATATCAAGTTATTGTACCCTAAAAACATATTCGTAATTATCAACAAATAATGCAGGTATCTATGTGAAAAATACGACTTTTCAAGACGTTCTTCAAAGTGTTACATTTGGCCCTGATAAAAGCTCGGCATTAGAATTTAGGTTGTTGTAAAAATTGTTTTCATAATTATTAAATTTGAATGTAATGTAATATAAACTAGTATAAATTTTACAAGATAGTTTTTGACTGATACAATATATTCAACTTTTACACTGAAGTTATTTGTATCATGATAATCGTATCAGGCGCATTTTAGTGCAATCATTAATATAGGAACAAGACATGTTTTAAAATGTAGATAACGATATGATTCACAATTAGTGTAATTTAATTTTTTTATCATCGACCAAAATAGTATATGACAAAAAGCAGATCAAAAAATAAAACAGATTGTATGAGAATCAAATCAGGCGAATTTTAATACAATTTTATGTACGAGTAAAATATGTATTTAAAATATAGATAACCATACCGAAACTGATATATTTTAGATTTTTTTTTACCACATCGATCAAAATAGTTTATGGCGCAAAGCAGTTCAATTCAACAGAACATTCTGCTAAATATCAATACTAAACTCAAGTGTTTTATTTTTTTATCTTCATTGGAAGACATCCAATAATTTTAATCACTTATCAATGATGAAAACGTGCAATTAAAATAGGTATTTGATACAAAAAATAGCATGCATAAAAATATGAAGGTTCTTTGTGTGCAAACTATCTTAATCATTTCAAATATTTGGAAGCAATCGATCATCTGGTAGCCAATTCTTATTTATGATGTTTCATAGAAGATACATCTTTTCAATATGAGATATTTTTATTAACTATAACCGCACTATCTAACGACAACTATCTCAATCAATAAATCAGTCACAATATGATGAATCATGGAAACTCGTCATCCATCATAAGGCACGTAAGCCGGATTCTTATTGTTTTGGGATGAAAGTTATATGTGTATATAGATGTCAAATTGATATTATTATTAATATATATGGTAGCAATAAAAATTATTTTTCAATCTATAATAATATAAATTATAATAATATAAATATATGTCTTTGCCAAGCTGCTTAATTAAATATCACATTTATTTGAAAATCAATCGAGCTATTTTGTAGCAATTTTTTTATAGAATTGTAGAATTACATTTAATTGTTGTTTTCGATGACTGGTAGATACACGGCAAAAAGTTAATTATTTTAGCACACTCTGTGTCTAATATCAGCCAACTGAATTAAAAGTATACAGGTGTTCAAAATTTAGCTAGGAGGTAAAACTTACATATTGCATTGAAATTTGGATCTTCTTTCATTTGAGTCAATTGCATCATTTATATTAAATCCATAATCCCATTTTCCATCAAATATTTTGTAAAAATTAGTATTCTGAACATTTGTTTTTAATATTAAAAAAGGGCGGTAGTCTTGAAACATTTATAAAGGTGAAATGCAGGTAAATAAATAAAAGGGCAGTTGGATAATTTAACCATTTCTCCTTGCTGGAAAATGGTACATTGATAATTTAAAAAGGTTTTCATTGCCATTCTGGTAATCATATATGTAGATTCAATCGTAGGTTTATTTTTATTATTCAATATAAATAATAAAAGCATAACCCATCGTTTTTCATGAGTAATGTTAAATGTTCGACGTAGGTGTCATTCATGGAATCATAAGTGTGGTTTTACGTTTACTACAAAGTAGCAGACACCTACAGAACGTGAATCACCTTACACACATTTTAAAAGCGATAAGTTTAAGAAAGTGATTCACCGCAAAAATTTTAAGAATTAGAAGAGTAACTGTCTGGTAAAGATATACGCATAAAGATCAACTTAGTTTTGAATGGAATGAATTAAAGGCTCTATTTCTGATTACCATGGCAACCGTATGTTACGGTTCTTTATCACGTAAATTGGTAGTAAAAACTGTCAATACGCATTATTAATAATTTACCATTATTATAGCCTACATCACTTCATACATATTACTTAAGAAAATTATTATTTCTTTAACAATTATATAAAAATTCAATACCACCATATATGATGCTTGATCCTTTATTACGATATGCATATTCATAAGATTTCACAAAGATTTTTTAGTTTCTTGATGAAGGCACGTTCAACAGTTGACTTATATCGTTTACTGTTTACTAAATAATGATATGTTCGACGATTGCCATCATGCAAATTAGTGTCAACCTTGCACTTTATCACACTAACGAGATCTTTTTGCTGGTTTCGATTATGTGCTGTGCATGATGTTTGAACAGCCATCGTTCGGTAGTAATATTATGTTCAAAACAAGTTAATTATAAAAATTAATACATGGTTAAAAAACTTATCTAACAACTTTGTCAGGTGTGGGTTCGTACCTGTGGTTCCAATCGGGAACAAGAATTAGTTAATGCTTGTATTATTTGTACAATTTTTTGGAATATAAATAAAACTAAAATTAAACTAAATTATTTGAATCATTATATCTTGAAAATTTTGTCTTATAAAAAATCTTAATCTTAATTTTACAAGTTAATGGCCATGTCAGTCATATGTGTTTGGCGCTAAGAAATTTTATATGAGCCATACATGTATGTTTGAAACAGCTCATGTAAAACTTCTTAGAAGATATTTTGTTTATTATATCCAAATCTCTCTTTTGACCAATCTCTTTTTACTAGAAATCATACCCTCTCATTTATCAAATGGACGTAAAATCTGTAATACTCCATGAATGTACTAAGTCAAATTACTATAGATTTTTTTCCTTTGAAGATTGTGATTGAATATATTTAAGTAATTGTTGTTTACGATATTTAGAGGAAGTCCTACCACTACAACACATCTTTTCTATTGAATTTCCGGATTGTAATTCCGTTAGCAAATTACTGAAGGTCAATTATCTAATGTGCGTACACACATGTAAATAGTATTTTCAGAGAAATCTATGTGTGTAATACACCAGTGGTTCATAATATATCAGAAATATATTTAGATTTAAATATAAATAATTTGCTAGAATTAAAAATGTCACAAGGTCCAATCCAACCCATATGCGGGGTAAAAAGGATAGCTAAGGGCAAAAGATCAACTAATTTATTTTTAACTTCAAAGAGGTTTTACCAAATAATAGTTACTTATTTAATCAGAGCGATGCAGTTTAATTATTAGCTTAAAAAATAAAAGTAGAAACAATAATCTAATATATATTGGTGAACAGAGAAAATAGGGGGCCAATTCTCCTTTCCTACGCTCCAATCTTCATATAAATTGGTAGTAAAACCTGTTAAAAAGCTAAATATTTGCTGTGAAGTCAGGCATTTTACCCGAAAAAGTCGCACTAACATCAAACTCACAATGTGATCATAAGTGCATCTTTCTAATGTGCTCTTGATAACACTTACGTAAAGTTAGGTTTTATATGTGAAACGCCTGATTGCACAGCAAATATATAGCATTTGACAGTTTTTACTACCATTTATATGAAGATAGACCATAAAATAGCGTTGCCTCTAACATTTTTATTTTATCGGAGAGTTGGCTCCTATATCTCCTATCGTTTTCGTTTTTTAGCATCTAAAGAATTATCTGACGAGCATTGATAGACATGCGGATGTCTCAGGGTATCCATAATAAAATAGTACAACGTAACACCGATCTTATTTGCAATAATGCAAGGCTGTTCGAGTGAGATAACAGCACGATCTTCCGCCGATATATATTATATATATTTCCTAAGTTTTGCGAATTCTTCCTTAAAGTTGTGCTGAATACATATCTTTTCACGGCACTGAATTCTTATATCGCACTTTTTGGAACAATTCCAAAATAATTGAGAAACACAAACTCATCAGAATATATCCATACCGATCAATGGGAAAATGATAAATGTGTTACGATTGTTGTGCCAACTAATTCTGTAGCAGATAAGATACATCGATTTTAGAAATTTGGTAATTAGAAATATGGGATAATGGTTCTCTTTATAATAAACTGTATACATCATGTGGAATCCGCTAAGGGTACAGTTAATAATTTAATAGTGTATTTGCGTTACGTAGTTATTAAAATTATGTATTAAACTCTCCTTCGATAACTCAAGTTATTGGGTTATAATTCAAACCTTGTAGCTGTGGACTGTATTAACACTGATTTGTTTTGTATTGTATGTATTGTTGCAGTTCTTATTACAATCACTAATTTGTCACTAAGTTATAATGGAAGAAGATACATTTATTTATCATTTATTACACATGTTGTTGCGCGGACTTTACTATTAGAAGTGTACAATTAGTCTCATTAAACTCTCCGTTACCCCCTCTGCCAGGGGTAGTAAATTATTCCATGTAAAAGCTCAATGCCATGAAGATTATCATCTTCATGGCCAATATAAAAAAATGAAAATACGTCCGAACAAATAGTTAATAGTTTTTTGTCTATATCAGGTGTATTATACATATATCTATGATATATGTATATCACACCTGCAATTAATCAATTTTCGTTATCATCGTCGGCGATAGCTCACGGTTTGAAAAGCATTAAAGGCGCGACGCGTGGTGGCCGCGGACGTTACGCAATTCACGTGGATTTATCGAATGAAACATGTGATCGAGTATTAGTTGTAATTTATTATCATCACTTGCAAGATTGAATTTATTCTCTTTATTAAACTTTCCATTGAGTTATTGATTTAATTTTTAGCTCTGACGTTTTATATAGGAAAAACTTAATGTTTGATTTCGAAGAACTATTATGTTGCACATGAATATTTTTTATTGAAAAAACTCTTAGCTAGTTATCAGTCTGTTTATCTATTGTACTTGCCAGCTTTGCACTTCAACAATATAAATATTACTCATATATTCATATTTAAATTGAAATAAGATATAAGTTTATCTAAGCAGAGAAGAATGATAGGTAACGGATGTAAATGTATTAAAATCTAAAATGGAAAATAAATATATGCAACTATGACTTACGTATGAAGTATGTCTAGTACACGCAGTACAAGTAGAGTATTGAAATAATTTTAATAAATCAATAATATTCAATAAATTAAATAATATTAACTACTGATAATAATAATATTCAAAGAATTAAATAATATTAACTACTTACAGTATTTATCAATATCATTAATGAAATGCTCAAATTTACTAGAACTTGACCGCTTCCTTTTAAGATTTTAGTATCGACAACTGTAATTTCTCAATCTTTCGATATTTACTAAGAAAGGAAACTTTAGGTTTACTATTCTGGAATTTGAATGAAACTTCTATTGGTGATAAATTTAATAGTCTAATCGAACACCTCAAAATATTATGGGGCTATGAAAAGAGCCAATTATGAAAATCTATTGAAATTTTGAAAAATAGACCGCTTCATCCGTTAACTCAATTGACAATAAATAATCACACAATATTACTAATGAGATGCAGTTATTAATAAAATAAATTATATACCTGTCTAAACAATCATTGATCTAAATTTTAATTGCACTATTTAAGATAGTTTAATATCTAATTTACTTCAATCTCAATCTTTTTATATTTATTTATTATAGGTAAAGATAACAATTATTCATGCAATTATATAATGAGCACTTGACCAACAAATTTGCGTATGCTAAAAATATTTACATAAACATTTTTCCTAATCCGTATCTAAATAAACTCAATGAAACATGAAATAGCCGGCGAACGTTTCACGCTCTACTTGCTCAACGTAGTAATCGTAATGATTTCAGAGTACAACAAAATTGATTATTATTAGGCAACTTTAAATAGATTTTTTTATAATTTTGTAAACGTGATAAAAACTGGTATCTAACAAGAATGTATTCTATATTATTTTCTTAAATTTAATCTTACCTTGTAGAGCGTATCTCTTCGATCGCGAATCGCTGCCAAAACCAACTTTATCTTTGACTCCACATCTGGGTAGACTCATGAGTTCCATTGTTTGTTCATCCAGTTCACCTGAATAGAAATAAATAAAAATGAAATTAACAATGAACAAATTACAAGCTATGGTGCAATATGGTAATCATCATAAAGTGAATAAACTTATAGATGGAAACGAATATATAAGTAATGAAAATTCTAAGAAAATGTTAATGAATGGAATCACATCATATATATCATTCTTATGATTTATTATATTTATTTATCTATGTATAAGTCTTGTGTCATATTGTTCGTCGCAATACTCCTCCAAAGATTTAACCGATTTTCACCAAATTTTATAGTCACATTAAGTATGACTGACAATCGGACAACATTTTTTTTTTCAGTGTTTGGATCTTTTTTTTCTTCAATTTCTTATATATAGTAAAAATGAAATCCATGCAGGCTTAAATTTTCACCTTCCTACCACAAACCTATATTTTGTATTAGTCATTTGAGTAATCGAACAATTTTCATCTCTTGTTCAGTCATATATTTCATATTGAGAGTATTATAATTATTACTCCGTCATATGTTAGTGAGGAGTTCGCTACTCTTTAAATCCCATCAAGTCGTACAAAAATATTCAAATATTGATTCACAAAATGAACAGTTATACATTCATCGCATATTTATAAACCGTTGATTATGCAAAATGACATTTGAAAGAAAGTAACATCAGTCTCAAACAGAATGTAGAGTTCGTTAGCATTATGTGTTTTGAGGTCATGCGTCTGGCTATAAAATCTTCATAAGTCAAGGTTAAAAGAAAAAATATACGAAAGGATTGGCCTTGTCTCAACTATTGTCCTAATATACCGAAGTTTCCATATATGCCAAGCAACCGCAAAAAATATAAGCGTTTTGCATTTTTAGCAGGCGTTCCTCGGATGCTAAATATATTACGTTGCAATATTTGCAGTACTTATTATGTACTCTTCGCAGAATAAATAAATATGTGTATTGCTTATGAGTTTGTTCAAAACGCCAATGACAAAGTAAATTTTTAAGAAATACTACTTATTTAACACGTTAATCGCCCAAACACGATAATATTAGAAAAAAATTCACATGGTCATGGTAACTTTTAGATAATTTAGTTAAAAATGTATCACAAAATCTTAATGTATCAAAGAATTTTTTGACAAAATTCCTAGAAAAACACTATTTTTCATGTCTCGCATATATGACTGATATGGCCATATGTTAACTTTTTTACCCTTCTATCAAATCGGGTAAGGTATGGCGAGACACAAAGATCCAATTTCACTTTGGCCAATTACATTGTGAAAATCAAACCAAAAACAATCAACTAACTATGTTCAGCAAAACTCTCAGCTAATTCATCTTTGTGTTGTTAATGCCGTTTTTAAAAAAAATGTCACATGGTCCTTTTTATCCCATAGTCGTGGTAAAATGAAACAATCACGGGGTAAACAGGTCCTATGTTTATTTTTAATTTTTAAGAGATTTTACGAGACGATAGCTACATTATTCAGCCAATGCAAACTATGAATTTCATGGGTGCACTTTTTACAGAGATAACACTGTAAATAACCATGATCTGGTATTTCGTCAAAAATAGTAATCAGCAAAGTTGAAATAACTATTTAATTATTTAATCTCATGTCAAATTGCTTTTTTTTAACAAAATTTACTTTTTTATTCGCTTTTTTTATTTTTTACACCTTTGCTAGGGTAAAGTTCAGTTGATCTTTTTTACCCCACCTAGGTGTAAGTTTTTATAGAGAAATATATAAAGAAAATATATGAAGAAAAATAGTTGAATATAATTCAAAATTAACAACAAATATTATAAAACAATTAAATAACTAATAATTCAAAATTATATTAACCTTTCGTAAACTAAACAACAGATCTCATAACCGAAAAAAGTAACAGCAAAAAAGAATACTTTTGTTATGGATTCTCAAACAACCGTTTATCTCTCCGATAGAAACATCGTAAAAATCAAGGCTTTGGCTAGTTATACATCTTTATCCCTCTACTTGCAAATATTGTTGCTAAAAAATTCTTAACTGTACTGATTTTTGAGATATTGGTGGTGTACTTTTTTCGTGAACTAGACAACAGTGCTCACAACCAAAAAAACTAACGAAAGAAAATACTTTAGTTATGGATTTTCAATAATTGCCGTTTTTTCCGATAGCTTGGTCAAAAAAATCTAGACTAGGAATACATCTTTATACCTCTACTTTCAAATAATGTTTTTCTTAAAAAAATTCTTAACTTTACTGGTTTTTGAGATATCGTTAGTGGACCTTTTTACCAGCGGGCCTTTAAGCCCCGTTCTAGCCTATATCAAACTTACAGAGTTTCTCGGGACCAGACACATATGACTGACATGGCGATTAACGTGTTAAAATCATATTTATAAATAATACATAAATAAATATAATTACTGCAATTAATCAAAATTGCAAGACAACTAGTCTTTAAAAATTATTACTGCACAATTTCTACTACTTCATAAGTACTATAGTCTTTTCAAGAATGAAACACTAAAAATAAATTCAACTATACTTTCCAAAATAGAAAGTAGAGCTTTTTATTTTAATTTATACAAACATCTTTTTTTTTCTTCTATTAAAGCAGCTTAATATTTCTTTATATTTCAATTACCAATATGATATAAAAATGTTATTAGAGTACTTTATCAAACATAACAGAAAACGTAATCAACTTTAATTAAATTTTCTATAAAGCCATTACCTGTAGCGTTGATGCCGGCGAAGCTCTGGAACTCTGAAATTGCGCTTGTCCACGTGGAGGCATCTATCAACCCTCCGCTAGAAGGGTTGCGAACCGAAGGGCTCAGATAGCCAAATTGTGCGAGGTACATCTGGAAAATAGAGATAAGAAATATTTAATAGAATAATTAATTCAAATTTTAATAATTTAATTCAAAGTAAATAGTTCAATATACAATACAAAACTTAATTAAATTATACAAATTTTTCTTGTTTATTTTTTCTAAATTTCATAAATTTTGTTTTCACTGATCCTTCATCAAAATATGTTATAAAATTACTGTACAAACAACGGCGTAGATAAGATTTACTTTTAGTTTAGATATTACATTCTTTACGTGTTTATTAAAATATTTATTTATTTGAAATTTATAGGCACCACATTGTTTGATAAATTATGTATATTTTCATGCATTTTCATGCATTGCATTGATAACTTGATTATTTTATTCAAAAATAAATTTCGGCCGAAACTTTGACTACGGTGGACGAAGAATGATTTACTGTATCAATATGGTTGACTTTAAACTTATTTTCTGCAACTCGAAAGTAGTCGGTATTTTTTTCTTTCTCTTTTTATTTCATGTTATATTAAAAATGGTAATCGATACTATAACCCAATGGCTTATAGAATATAATTGTTCTGATTGCCATTCAATATATAAAAAAATATTATATCTATATTTAACTTCCCGTATTATCCAATTTTTTGTCCACGATTTCGGGCGCATGGATCAACCGATTTGAATGGTTCTAAAAACGTTTTATTTTATAGAAAAAAAGACCACAGTTTAGCGAAGACAGGTCTAGCGATTTCGGAGATCGAGAGAAAAAAGTTCCAAAAGAGGCATTTAAAGTTATGCAAGCTCACTTATATACATTTAAAATACATATTAAAAAGCAATTTTATTTATTTTTTGTTTAAGAAATTGAACTTTTACTTATGGTTTCGTACCCATATGCAAAAAATTTAAGAAAAAACAAAGCTATTTTATTCAAATTCTCAGAAACCTTAAAAACTCTGGTCACAGTTCTGATTAAATACACATTTACCATTTGCATTATCTTAAGAATATATAGTTTTTATAAATTTGAGATAGAAGCCTATTTTAAACGTAACTCATATTTAAGAGATTTAATTATATATATTGCTTCTTGGTGTGCAAAAAAGGCTTTAAAGCCATATGTGTTTTTCTTCCATGGTAAAGTATTTTTTAGCACATTTTAGACAAAATTAGTAATAAACTATTCAATTGATTTTTTTTTCGATAATAAACTTTGAGCTTTAATTTTTTATAATAAAAATATTAGAATACAAGGTAATCGGCCCATTGTAATGTAAACCGTTTTAATGCTGAAATATAATACATTAATATCTTTATATTTTTATGGCCTACAATGTTTGATGTCATAGCAGACATTTTGATTCAAAATATATTATTATAACACTAACATTAGTTGAGCCATTAAATAGAATTAAATAGGAAATATAATGCAGTTGGAATTTTTATTATCGCCCATTATCGTCTAGAATTTACTGTAACCGCGCCGTTTTTATTTTTCTATTGTGTAGTAAAATCCATGAAACAGATATATTTGAAATTGCAACTTTTTCAAATGATAATATAGCATGTCATTTCTAAACTATGACTATTGCAAAAATTTAGCGGTCTACAAATTATTTATACAGTTTATATAACGCTATTATATAAGAAAGTTTTAACAGATTGTTTCTTTGTACAATTGTCGCAGATGATGTGTGAAAAAAGATAACGCAATTTTATTTGTAAGAGTACGTTTTCATCTTTCAATAGTACGTGCAATCCGATTTAAAATATAATGAAATATTTAATAAATATTAATTTTAATAAGCTTTTTCAAGAATATCTGATATTTTTTAGTTATTTAGGTTTTGTTGCTTAAATAAATATTAATTTCTTTGATAAGATAGCAATATTAAATACATATTTACAGATAACTTGTCTCAGAAAGCAATAACAACAAAGCTTATAAAAAACTCGAGTCTTAAAAAAACTTGTTAAAGGTCCTATTTTTATTACATAGATACAAACCTTGTATTACATCATAGTCAAATATAAATCATATTTGTATCATCATATCTATACAAAACGCATTAGAGAAGTTGAAAAGCACAATGTTTACTAATGATGCAAATAGTAATTTCATATCATCATTTGAATATTTTCTAAAGCGTTTATCATAATATATAGATAGTCTTTTAAGAATTTAACGGTTAAGCTTTCACTTTTCTTACAATGAAACGCATTTGTACCCAAACGCAAATGTAATGGTTTAATTTTATATTTCCTTTTTATAATTCAGCGCATTTATGTATATACACTGATAATATTCTTTGTTATATTTATACATAGATACTGCATAATTGATGCTGCAGCAAGTGATGTAAGATTATCTAATGTATATTAAATATATATTTAAATATAGATAAATGTTATAGAGGATAAGTCAAGCATTTTTTCTGGCAAATGAAAAAACAGATAGTTGTTTGAAATTATCAATGAAAATTTCTGAACTTTATCAAAGATTACGCTAGTAATACTGAGAGGGACAGACAGGTTACGGTTATTTCAGTCGTCATAACAGGTATACTATATTGATTTTGAGATAGGGTCCTAAGAAGAAAGATAAAGTATGTTCGAACAAGTTTCCATTATTGCATTGAGTTAGCGCTCTTCATCAACATGATCTGTATTGCTTTTAAATAGTCAAATTTAAGTTTTTTGTTTGATTTTTTTAATAATGACTGTTACTTGTATACAATAGATCACTTTTATTGTTATTTTGCTGTGAATTGAAAATTAGTAGTTAACTACCCAAAATTTTTTTTTTTCGTCGAATATGCTGATACAAGTATTTCTTGTCTTTTTTAGATAAAATTTAAGCTAAAAAAATCTAACTCAAGAAACAATACAAAAGAGAAAGAGAAAAAAAAAGTTTAATTCAAAAAAACAAAATATTTTACAAAGATTTCATAAGCTTTGCTTAAATGATTATGTTGGGTTACATATTTTTGACAATACAAGTGGTTATAAACCATCTTGGTGTTTATAACTATTATTTTTAACCGTCCTGGGGTGTGGACGGTTGTGACCTTGCCCTTTTCTTGTACGATTTGATTTCATTATTAATCTATCATATTCAAAGACACTATTTCAATATTTTCATATAGACAAATATTCAAATTTCCATTTAATTTATTTTTCTCCCAGCTAACTAGTAAATTAAAAAAAAATATTGCTGATCAAAAAAAGCTTGTAGATTGAAACTTTAATGAAAATTTCTTCTTTATGAACAAAAATCTGAAACCATATATTTTATCAAATTAATTAAAATTTTCTGCTGAATTATGTTACTTTGTCTTCTACTAATGTGTCATTATAAAATGCAGTAATATTTATAGTACATATTGCATATTTCTCGATATCTATTTATAAACGTGCATCATCCAGCTCTGCAAAAAAGTCTCATTCAATGAACAGCTGTATATATACAGGCTAAAAGAGTTAATACAAAAGGATTACATGAAGAAGTAATTCGCAAGTGTTCTTAATTACATTTGCGCAGTAGCCGCACGAGATGGCTTATTTTATCTAACATAAGTTTCTGTTCTGCGTTCTGAGTAGCGTGAAAATAAATGGACGATGAAAATCTAAAAGAATACACAAGCAAATTGTAAGAGAATAGAACTAATAAAATTTAGAATAGTAAAGTGTACCGCAGGAAAATATATTTATTCACTTATAGGAATATTTCACTATTAAGTTGTGAGCATTGTACACATGTAAAATAAGTACATATGTACTTTATTCATTGAACTCTGTTCACACACACACACACACATATATATATATATATATATATATATATATATATATAGTGTGTGGCGGGGTACAAAGGTTCAATTTTTCAACCCATTTTCAGTAGTTTTGCTGCATAAACTACATGACAATACATAACATTTATCGAACAAACAAACATCAAACTATGTTCAGTAAAATTCCCAGAAAATGCTGATTATAGAAATGTTTTTTTTTTGCTTTTTTGCCAAAATTAGTCAACTGTCTCTTTTTGCCCGATACACTAGGTAGGAAGCGACAACGAAATAATAGTTTCATTAGTTAGCCACAGAAAAATTAAATAGGGACATTTTTTGGAAATCGAAAGCAGATTCATCGCCAGAGATCAAACAATTATTTATTTAATTTCTTTTGTGAAATTGCTTTTAACTTAGTTTACTTTTCTATTCACTTTCTAATTGTTTACATCTTTGCCAATGTAAACGTTTAATGTTCCTTTTTACATCACCCGCATGTAAGCTTTTATATAGCTTATATCCTATAAGCTGTTGTTGTATAAAAAAGCCGTTGAATCTAACTTAAAAATATGATTTATCTCACAAAACAAATATAGTCTGGTATAATAAACTTAATGAAAAAGCTCATAACCAAAAAAAACAGAAAAAAAATAAAGAAAAAAAACTTCAAGTATGAATATTTATATATTTCCGTATATCTTCTTATAGCAAAGTCGTAAAAAATAAGATGATGGCAGGTTACACATCCTTTGCTTCATACTTTATAATAATAACATTAAAAAATTCTATACTAGGCTTATTTTGAGATAATGAGAATCGATTTTTTTACGCGCGAACCTTCAAGCATATATTATGAGCATGTGATATGCTTCATCCGGAATCCATTTAGTTCTAGCAATCCCTTAATCATTTTCTGGTATTTGTTATCAAAAATCCCACACCTGTAGTTTTATATACGAATAAACTTCATCCTTGCTTTTATTTCGCGTTGTTTTTATATGCAAATATTCACTTCAGAATTCGTACAGTGTACACCATCACGTGAGTGCGCGATCGTGTAAAACAAAATCGTGAGCTATACATCGGCCGCGTATTTTCTTGGTAGCCGTTTGCGAGGGCTCGTCAAAGCTCCGAATTTTTCACCATTCGCCGAAGAATTCGTCCAGGAGATCCGATCGTGTGAAACTGAACGCCGAACTCACCGCGATTTGAATCCGTAATAAGATCCGCCGAAGG